GGTGCTCTGCTAATGACTGTTTCATGGGTGTTATCAATACCAACACGCAGAGAGAGAGAGAGACTGGGCAGCATTTTGCACTATTGATTGAGTCTTTTTCCTATTTAACCTTGCGTCTCTTTTTTTCCGGAGAATGTCTTATCCTTTCCTTCCCCCTAATACTTCACTTCTTTTGGTTAAAAATAGTGTCTAAAATCTGCATGAATGTAAGCTACTAGGGCTAGTCTAGTGGTGAGGGGGGATGGGTAGTGGGTAGTAGCAGGTGCTGTGTTCGATTCCCAATGTAACGAATGTATTCAAAAAAAAATAAAAATCTGCATGAATGTCAATATGTTCATAATTTGTATGCACCTAATTCACCAAAAATAATGCTTCATCATGATGGATTTCGAGACAATTCAAACAATTGTACTTCAAGCAATAAACTTTCAGCAACTGCAGTCCATAGTTGAGACTCATGGTAGTAAAAAAAGTAAATCTATCAGACAGGTGCAAGCATCCTGAATATTGCAAAGGCATACATAAATGAAGTTCCCATGATAAAAATGTAATCTATAGATATTTCATTAGTCAGAGCACACTTTTTCGCATGCAAATTGAAACAACAAAAACAATTACAACTCATAACTTTCCCCATCTTTAATGAATTATGTTCAACTGTCATCAACTATAAGTATGCTTTATGATAAGAAAACATACCCTGCGGTCGTGCTCTTCAGCAAAATACTCTCTATTAACATCACTCTTTGGAATTGCGTCATTGGTATTGATATTGAGAGCTGTGTCCCGCACTTGAACTGGCAGTCCATATTCAAGATCCAAAAGGCACACTTGGCAAACATTCTTCAATTTACTACATGTCTGGCATATCTCAGTTTTCTTAAATCTTGCATCTCGACCCGGCTTCCATCTAAAAATTGGATATTCCAAACTTGATTTTTAATGAGTTAACTTTTATAAACTTTATTTTAGAACTTATAGTTTGTTTATTTTAAAAGGTACTTTTTAATTAATTTTTTCTCTAAATTTTTTAGTATATTTTCAGAAGTTAGATTTTCTAGCTTCTAGAAAAAAAAAAAAATTATCCAAACGCTCTTCAATCAACTTGATTTTAGTCATTAGATTTGATGAAAAGTGATTTGTATTTAGAAAACTTTATTTAAAAAATGATTTTTGACAAAATTAACATTATTTGATATTATTAATCGAAATTATTTTGAGAATACCATTATCAAATTAAAAATTAATTTTTTTTATATAGCCTTTCCCACAATAATCAAGTAATATGCTATGTGTGAAACCGACCCAAAAGAGCCTACTAGTTCCTTAGATCGGACCATCTATTTATAGATGATAAAGTGATAATATAATTCATGTACCCGTAATATAAAAAAAGGACAAGATAATGTAGCATTATGGACTTTTTTTAATTCATCGTATGCAAGTTCATCTTAATATTATTAATTTCATATAGTTTGAAATTTATTTCCTAAAATGATGCAAAAGTAACGGTATCTGTAACAAAATATGGGCTTTGACCAGCAATTTTTTTTAATGACTTTCTATTAAAGTCATAGCCTTTAACCACGGCTTAGGGTTAGATTATAATTTTTAATTATTATTAAGATGAACTTGTATCTACACGCAACCACGCATGGTTTATATTCATTTTATCATTACCGTTGTATTTTCTAGTTTTCCTTGCAATTTTCCCTTGGTTCGCAAGCTTAGATATCACTGTCTTCGAAGCCTTTTTCTTATCCTTAAAAATTGGCATCGAACTTTGAGGTAGGTGTTAACAATTATTAATTTTTTACATTACTTTTTATTATTATTATTAATTTTTTTTTTAACTCTTATATGTTGAGAATTCAAATCTACATGATAAAGTCCTACAATGAGAAGAGATGGCTAAGTAAGGATCTATAAATCTAAGACATTAAGATTTTTGGTTAATATGTGATCTTGAGTTCATTTATTGTGGGTTTATTACTTAGCTCACTGATATGTGGCTGATAGTTCACTTGTTTTGGACTCTTTTTGACTACATAACTGTGGTATCAAAGCTAATAATTAATTGTTCCATGCCAGTCATATAATTTGTTCTCATGAGTATTTGGAGATGATAGTTAACCGAAATTAAGACTTTAATTTTTTTTTGCAACTTCTACAAGTGCATCCCATCATACAAGTAATATAATAAAAAGTAGTAAGGTTGTCATTTTCACAATGATTGATATATCAAACACTAATTTATCTATGCAATCAAAGTTGAATCGATCTTTAAAGGATTTTTTTAAGAATATAAACTAAATTGTAAAAATAGAAATTTAAGAATAATATTTTTTATTTTTAAGATTAAGAAACAAGAACAATAATTAAGAACAGAAGAACACAATCAAGAGATAACCCTAAGAGATATCTGGAAAGGCTGTATCATATTATTATATACGGTGGCAGTATGAGAAAGCAACGACTAGTATGATATGAAATTATGAATGGTAACCAGTTTTGACGGTAAAAACTGATCTGCATAAAAAAATGGCAGCCTATTAACAATTAGGATTTGATTCATAGAGTTTCACTGAGATATTTTTAACTAGACATGAGCTATATTTAAAAATATTAAAAATGATTTACACAACTTTTTTACATATTAATATTGAATACAGTATTCATATTAAACTGTGCTTGCCTGGGAATTTATATCCAATATCTAGACGAGTATATAGCGTGCTGTTTACGGATTTGTATGTGTATACATACCAACCATATTGCATTGGACTAGGCAGACGGACGTGGAGTACACCGGCGTACTTGCTTATCAACTGCCCCCATTTCTCCTTTAATCCGTAATTCTTGAGCAGTTTTTTTCTAGTACCGTCTCAAATATTTTACTTGTCATAATTACAGATCCAGAAAAAAATTTCGGACCCCAATTTTTTTTTTTTTTTTAAATTTTAAATTAACGCTTAAATCCGCTCGTAATCTAGTTGCTTCCATAACAAAGAATGAAAAAATCATGAGAATGGGAAATCATAAGAATGGATACGTGACGGGAGAAGAAGAATAAGTTTTCTTTCTAATCAATTTGTGTTGCTACGTTGTTTTAATCATCTCTGTACGTTGCTACGTTGCTAACTAATATAAGAATAAATATCATTTTTGGTCCCTAACAAAAAATTTGATCCCCACTTTAGTCCATTATAAAAAAAAAGAGTCACCTGGTCCCTATGAAATTTAAAGTGGATCTATTTTAGTCTTTTTGAGATTAATGTAAGTGTTTTTTTAATTTGTGAGGGACCACAATTTTAATTAAATTGATCCACTTTGAATTTTTTAGGGACCTCCTTGAGACTAATTTTTGATAAGGGACTAAAATGGAGTCCATATTTTTTGTTAGGGACTTAAAATGATATTTACTCCTATTATAAATATTGAACCAAGAGACAAATAATAACTTACATAACTAAAAAAAAAATTTAAAATCCAAAATCAGTGCGGACGTGTGACCCAACGTGGATCCGCCAGTGATTACAGTATATATTTTGTCGAATTTATTAATCCCTTTCATATTAAAACAAGAGTAATACCAAATATTACATAAAGCTCGGTTATATAATTGATATAATTGTGAATCATTATGTAATTTATAGATATTATTTTAAGTATTTCAAGTTTATAATTATTCTTTAAAAATTTTATAAATAGAAAAGTCAATAATAAAATAAATTCGCATTTGATAGATACAAATAGAGGGACAAAAACATAGCATAAATGGTTGAGTGGTAAGTTATATTTATAAAGTTTTTATTTACAAACTATATTATGTATTCCAGAGAATACACATTTAAATGATTATATTCCCCGAAATATATAATGTAATTTATAAATAAAATATTTATAAATATAAACCTACTCATAGTTAAGCATTTAAAACACAAAAAATTATTATAATACCTTTGTGTTGGGCTTTTTCTAAGCATCATAGAAATGTGTTGGCCCCTTTATTTTATTTGAACAATTAAACAAATTTTTTTTTTATTTTGTATCGTATCTTATTTTTTAAGGAATCAAACGATATATTTTTATCTTCCAAAAGGCAATACTATTGTGTACGGATGGAATTCTAGGTTAAAAACCTTCAAGGTTCTTTTTTTAGTTGAAAACAAAAAATGGCTTTGCCGCATCTTGCATTGTGCATTTCTGGTACCCGCTATAGTTAATGAACATGATTATCTTTAAAGAAAACGTAAGTGGATATTATTTATGCATGGACGGTCCATACTGTCAAGTGGAAATGTACAATAATATTAGCTTTCTTTGTCAGATAGTTCGGTTTCCATCTCTAGACCTATCAGTAAGGTGGCGTTTGATTGACATCTTTATGAAATTTTCCTAGGCATTTAACACAAGGTTTCCAAAAAGCACATGTTTGGTGAAGCTCCTTCAGACCAAAAAACTAGACAACTAAAATGCATAGGTTTCTGAATTGGAAATGAAAAAGATGGCTTTCGGCACTGTTAGAAAACCATTTTGGTAGGTAGATTTTTGAAAAACCACGGATAAGTCACTGTTTGTTGAATTTCTTTGTATACTTTCCCAGTAAAGTTTTTTCCTACCAAACAACTTTTTTTTACATTTCCCTATTTATCTCACTTTATCTATCTTTCCAATCATTTCCCTATCTATCTCATTTTCCTACTATTCCAAAAAAATTTCCTGAACCAAACGTCCCTGAGTTTATGCTCTTTATGCAAGAAGAATTGAGTTTACGTTCAACCAATCCGTGAACGATCAAATGACAGAATGCTAATTAGAACAATATAAAAATAGAGTATAATAGCACTTTGTGAATCAGCCAGTCGTGACGCTTGAAAATGCGGGGTTGGTACATTGCGTTGCAAGGGTTTTAAAGTTTAAAAACAAAAGTGGTAATAAAGTAATAAGAAAAAAAAAAACAAGATTCAACAACAGACATAAGTACAAGCATAACCATAAGTCTGATATTAAAGTTGCATAAAAACAGAAACAAGAAGCATACATGCATAACGCAGTTCATGACTAGCAATGTATAGGAAAAGCTCCAGTCCACACTCTTCAACGAGTATCAACCCAAAGTGCAGTGCAGTGCAGTCAGTGCACTTTGAAGCTCAGCACTATATATACACAAGCTAGAGTAACCACACGCCACTCGCACACTCAGTCACTAGTGTCTTTATTTATTTGGTATTATATATAAGCATATATGTTCTAAATGAAAGGGGGGTCTCCTTGAGCTAAAGATGGGGGTGGGGTTTTTCCAAGTCCTCGAGACTGGTGGGGCGAAACCAGGCCTTCTCCTCCAGCACCGAGTCAGCACTTGCATCAGAGTGGAAGCTGCGTTCTCCGCCGGAAGTGGGAGCAGTGGCTTGCTCACCCCCGGGGGGCCCAAATACCCCAGTCTGTGGGTGTGGGGCCCAATATTTGCCTGATTGGGTTGCCTGGATCACATCGTCGGGCACAGGGCCCGAGTGAATTTGATCATCTGGGTTCTTGTCGTATACTGAGCTGTGTGCTGCCCTCCTGTATTCCACCAACAATTAAATCCCATTTCATCTTCATTTACAGTTATTAAGGATTTAATCTGATACTTAAATAATAATAATAATAATAAATTAAAAAATTTAATAATTATACGCTGAGATTTATATCAAAATTCATTTAAAAAAATGGTTCAACGGTAATTAAGCCTCAGATGATCTCCTACTTGGAGATCTCATCACAAACAATAGTGGATATGGGTGAGTCATCCATGTGGCGCTTTGGATGGGTGGTTAGGTGTCAAAGCAAAAATTGGTGATCACGTGATGGGTATATATATAAGCTCAGAGATTTGGACCACCAACCGCCTTTTGCAATTAAAGTATTATGTACTCATTTTCCACGCCTCCTCCTTGAGGACGACATTGATAAATATCATAAGCCTTTTTTTCAAAGTAATTTTAATAAAAATACATTTATCTTTAATTTAGAGTACGGATAATTTCTTAAAAAACATTATACAATCTCAATAATTTTATAACACACTGCCGTAACCATCTTATCCCACCCCCATACATTTTCTATCGAAACAAGAAAAATATATTAAAAAATAGTTTATATCCATAAAACCATAACTCTGTCATTGAAATAAAACCAATTCTACACGTTGACATGCACAGCAGTAAGACAGGTAATAATAACAATAGTTGCTCCCACTACTAATAATAATAGCACCGCGCCCTGGGCAAAAATAAATAAAAAAGGCTCTAGGGAGGGATTAACTAGACAAATACAAATACAAAGTTTATTCAAAGCATGGAACATGCGTCTGTTTAATATGCAAAGAAACAGCTAACTGTTAATTGTTCCATATTCGACAAAAATATTTTAGCACTTTTAATGGACATTATGCCTGTATTACTGATAGCCATTCAATAATTGGTTAATTAAACGAATATGTGTTTTAAAAAAAAGTTTTAAAAAAGAAACGAAAACGAAAGAAAATGCTAAATGCACTTTTAATTGTCAAATCAGAATAAGTATCACTTCTAAATCACAATAGCCATTCAGTTAATATTATCAATTAATAAATATAAACAAAATAAAATCTTTAAAATCGTATATTGGAAATAAAGTGTAAAAGGACAGACGATGCGGAAATATAAAAATTTGGGTACAATATGACAGGAAAATCATGGACAAAGCAACTGATTCATCAAAACGGAGATAATCCCATTTTCAAACCATAAATTACTAGAGGAGAAAAGGCCCAAAGTAAGAAACATGCAATATAGCCACACAATTGGTAACGAATTCACAAACTTTAAATCATATAGAGGACATAGTCTACAAACTCTGCAGAGGACTGGTGCAGCTTCGGAGGATACTCAAAAATATTAGCACGTAACACAAAGAGAGTGGTATGTGACACATAAAATAAAATCTGGGTCCCACCTGGGTAGCCTTATCCTAAAATATTTTCCACGCTGTCAAAAACTATCATGCAGGCTAAATTATAATAGTGGCTAACTACATCATTTTTATCCAACTGCAAGTCAAATAATTCTTCTATATTGTTATAAAAATTAAAAAATAAAAAATAATTCTTTCTATATACCAAAGTAATTAATTTCTAATTTATTTACTTCGGTTGAACGCAACCTTCCTCTTAACGGCAAGGAGAACGAACCAAAGCACAATTTATATTTGGGTTTTATAATTATGGAGAATTGAAATATCATATTGTAGAGATAAAAAACACGTGGGACCTATGTGTAAGAAAAAATTATATGTAAGACCCATGTCAGCACGGAAATCGAAGGGTGTGTAGGAAAATTATAATTCTCACGTTAAATAAGAATTATAAAACCCTTTATATTTTATAGATTATACATTTTTTTGAAACAAAAAATGAGGTCAAATTTATAATTATTATAATAACAGTTGGCTTAACGTTGAATAAAAGTAAGTTGATAGTTCCCAGGGAACAAATCTGGTGAAGACGGAAAGGGACGTGGAGGGTTTAGGAAGAGGATGAGTAGGAAAACAATTATCCCCATCCACTTTCTTTACTTTGTTTTTCTTCTCTGACCAAGAAGCGAAGTGAATGGTATTTTCCGTTGTCAAATCAAACTTTTCGTACACCACCAAGGAAGAAGATGCCTTTATTTTTATTTATTTTAAATTTTGCTAAATGTAAAAGGCATGAGCACGCTTTTTTGGATATACTTTTTGGAGGCACCAACACAATCAGCAAGGAGAAGGAATTTAATCCCTGCATAGGAGTATAGGACTGTCCAAGATGGAAGGATATGGGAATTCTTTATATAATATATAAATTAACAGCTGACAGCACACGAAAACCAAACGGCAAGGCTACAATAGTTCATGATGTCATTCAAAAAAGGCTAAAGAAAGGAATCAGATAAGGTATGGGAGAGATTATGGCATAAAGAACGGCACAAAGGAAAAGAAAATTAATCCCAGTGGTCGGAATAAATGGACGCTTGTAAATTTGCATAGCTCAAGCCCTAATTTTTTCCCACAAAAGAAAAAGAAAAAAGAAAATTAAGAGTATATTTCTAGAAAATCTATTAATCACCGTTCTAATTCACTGTTTGGAAACGAATAAAGGCATCAGAATATAAGGAAAGAATACTGGGATGTCCGAAAATCATCATTCACTTGCAATAATTAATAATAAGCCATGTTCAAGTAAGTACGAACTACGAAGTATATAGACTATTCACAAACTTGAGAACTCGGATCACAAAATTTCTTCATAAATTAAAATCAAAGCTTGATTAATTAACAACAGGGAGTATATCATCATCATATTACTTAATCAAAGCAACCACCAGCAGATAAAAGAAAAAAAACACGATTACAAACTAGAATAAAAAGAGGTTAATTGAAGAAGAAAAATACATAAAAAGTGTATATACCTGGTAGTGAGAACAGAGGAAGATGGGTTGGGGGAGTTGGAGGTCCAGATCCGGTTGGCGATTCGCTTCCCCAAAGTGGTGATCCCTCGACTACTCGAATTGGCGGCCATACAATGAGACCAACGAAGAGAGAGAAACAGAAGAGAGAGAAACAGAGCAAAAATCACACAAAGAACAGAGAGAGTAAAAAGAGTGAACTAGCTTGGCTTTTGTTATGTGTAAAAGAGTAATTCACAATGGATATTTATATACAAAAAATAATGGATAGGGTAGATACAAGCATGCCAGTTCGTACCTAACACGTACGTACGATAACAGTCCTCGTTAACGCCCCGTTCATTTCTTCACGGCCACCGTTTGTAACTTTCTAAAAGAAAAAAATAAATTAGTACCCAGCACAGCAAGTAATTACTTGGGTTAGTACTTAGTTGGCCAATGCTAATTTGTTATAATTAGAAGATGATTGACTATTCAAGTATTTGTTGACTTTTTTAACCAATTCATTATTATTATTTATTTAACAACTACTCTTAACTGTTTAACAAATAATAGTTTATTTTGTTATCTTATCTGTTATCTTAGCTTGTCTTAACAAGTAATTTGATTACTTAGCTTATCTGTTATCTTGTTTGTACATAAAAAAAGTTTGCCTTTACAAAAAATAATAATCGTTATGTTTATTATTATGTTAGTCTTATTACTTGATTAATTATTGTTAGATTAATTTAAAATTAATGGTCAAAAAATAGAAAAAATTAATTATGGTTAATTTTAAATTAACAAATTAATTCATCAATAACCAGTCAGATAATAAGAATAGTAAATTTAAAATAATAATAAATATAATATTTCCCTTTAATAAAATTGATCAGAAAATTTATTCTGTTATTGAATTATGAATAAAATGAGGTCACGATTTTTTTTTATTTTTCAAATAGAGAAACATTAATGCTATTTACTTATTTTTTATTTCATTATTAGATTCAAACCTAAAGGAAAATAAAAAGGGGATTGTCAGTGAAAACCATATCAATATTCAAGAAATGACGCGTTTTGGACACGGAATGTGGATAAGAATGTACCGATGTCCGCCTATTGGTGAGTCATACAAAGCGCATGACTTAAAATTTACGAAAGTTTATATAAAAATAAATATATAAATTACGAAAGTAATAATTTAAAATTGATTTGATAATTTTACATAATTTACGTGTGATGTTTTTTTGGTAGACACGTGTAATGTTTTATTAGATCATGTATAGTATTTTTTTAATTATATAAGTGTTTCTTAATGATTAAATAAATAAACCCTCATTTTAATTTATGAAAAAAATATAGAAACACCAATATAGTTTTTGAAAATTTATTATGTATGAAAAATTTCATAAAATAATTTTAAAGAGTTAAATTAATCGTCTCATAAATGAAAACATAAAAAAAAATACTTTTTTTATGTAAGTGGGAATGAAACATATATCCCTTATTACTAGACTAATTCTAATGACTTTGTAAAAAAAAAATTAAGTCTAATATAATTGAATAATTATGATTAACATGATATTAAAAAAATGTTTTTAGATAAATGCCAAAATGCGAATAATTCAAGGCCCCTTCTCTATTGAGGTTCCGTCTGCTCCTATCTATTGTGTGACTTGAGTTTGAATGTAAACAATTCCTGCAAGTCCCCTTCATCAATTCCAATGAAAGCAGCATTCGCTCCTTTTAAGGTCCAGAAATCAAATGATATGGTTATTAATTCAGAAAATATTTGAAAGGAACATTCATATCCTATCTCGATGAACAATTCAAGGATAGATGGTGTTTGTAGAAAGTCAATCATCTCAAGACCTGGAAGGTGAAACCCGAGGTGGAAAGGCTGTGACCAATGAAGCCTTGCAGCAGGATTTGGACACTAAAACTTTTGTTGCCATATTGGGCTAATTTGCATCTAGTTTATGCCCAACTGGATGGGTCGTGTTGGTCCTATATGTAGGCCTTTTCACCTTAGTGGTCAAAGTTCCAAAAAATAAAATAAAAATCAATGTAATAACATTGCAAAATATTCACCGATTATCCAGTAATAAACAGTGTGACTCAAATACCAATCGTCAAATTATTATTATTATTATTATTATTATTATAAAAATTTAATATTTTTTAAATTAAAAAAAATTTAATAGTTTTTGAATTAGTAAAAATAAATGAGAATTATTAATTATTATTTGACTCGTTACATTTACGGTAAATATATAAAATAGTATAAGTTACGTTATTTATCATCTTAATTATTAAGTATGGATGATCATTATGTAGAGATGAAACTGGACTAGGTTAGATAAGCGGGGGAGCCACATGCTATCTGGAGGTGGCTTCGTTCCGAGCTAAATTTTAACAAATTATACTTATCAATTATAATTATATAATTAATTATAATTTAGCCCATGCTAAAATTTATAATTTAGCCCTATCAAAAAATTAAAATATATTTGGTGAGAGATTTAGGTAAGTTGTATTAAGTTATGTATTCTATTTTTACTTATATAAAAAATTAAAATATATTTAATAAAATTATAACTTTTTTATGCTCTCTGCTCATGTGTTTTGCATTTAATATAATTTAAATATATTATAATATAAACTAACAAAATTTAAAAAAAATAAATACATATATAATTTTTTGGCCCGGATTCCGATTGGAGCTAACCGTTGGGTTAGATCAGGTTTTGTCTTTAACACTATGTAAATTTTTTAGAGCCTATATTAATCTTTTAATCTATTAAAAACTTGATTTATGAGTTTGACCTAATGTAAAAAAATGAAAAAGCCGTTTATCCAAAAAAAATAAAAATGAAAAAGCCTAATATGGCCTAAAAGGCCTTCTAGACCTGCCAAGTTACAAATCAAACTAAAAAAAAAAAAAAAAACTTTCTCATTCATTAAATTAGGGATATTCATAACAACACATTAAATAATTATTTTTTTGAATTTCTTTCTTTGTACTTGGCATCCTTCACAATCTTTTGGTGAGCTTTTTCATCTTCTTCCTCCTTCTTTGATCGATCACTGCACATTTTGCGCTGTTGAAATATCTACTTCCTGAAAAATAAAATCAATCAAAAGAAAGAAATATAACAATTATTCCAAGAAATAAAATTCCATTTATTATAAGAAATAAAAACAATAGCTCTTCCTAAAAAAATAATGACCAATCATACAAGATAAATGACAAACTACTTTTAAGGTAAAGTACCATTTGTTTTGAGAAATAAAATTTCAAATGCACAGATAAAGTCATAGAAATTTTTTTTATTATTATTTTTTTTTGTAAATAGTCATAGAAAATTTTAATATACAAGATATTATTTTATGGGTTAAACTACGGTTCTGTTACAGCAAAATCACAATTTTGTCCAGCTGATACATTGATCTTTGTGCTTTCTTTTTCCTATTTTTTTTGAAAAAAAACATGTGGGCCATCGGTTGTTTTTGTGTCAACAGGAAATGTTTATGTTTTCCTGTAACATAACCCTCGTTCTCCTATTTTTGCTGTTTTGGGATGGAATATTTCCCTTGCTGATTGTGCATTTTTTAGTAATGATGCATTTACTTTTCGGTAGCCCGGAACGGAAGAATTCTATAGTTAAGCGTGCTTAACTTGGAGCAATTCTGGGACGGATGACCTCTTGAGAAGTTTTATCAGGAAGTGTGCGAGTGAGGAAAAAGCACAGTGAAAAATCTCGTGTTATACAGGTGTAAGACTTGTTATTCTTACTCCATTTGGTTCCTCAGCTCAATATTACAAATGAACTTTCGTATACTCCCTTCATATAAAACATAAATCATTAATGATAAATGATAATTAAAAAATCTCACAAATCGTATAACAATTCATCACATCGATATGTTTTTCTTCTTTTTCATTCTCTCAATTTTTTCTTCGTATCACTAGCACTGATTTCATCAACGAGGGTTTGTGTGGTATCTTTATCTATGTAAGAAAAATTATCAAACATATAAACCCTCCACTGTCACTCTTCTGGACCATGCCCTCTTTTGAGCTTGTCTCAATTTGCCTTAATATCTCAGAAATTCTATTAGAAATGATACTACTAATTAATTGGCTCATACTTAATTACTAAGTCACGACACAAGATCCAATCAAATATAATTTAATTTTGGAAACATTTTTTTCCTTTAAAACTTGATCTTATAAATTGAAGAATAAGATCGCAAATAATGATTCTTGCTATTGTGTTTTGACTTAAAAAGAATGAAATCATTTTGGACGTATATTAGCAGATTTTTTTTTAAAATTTTTGGTAATAGTATATTAGCATATTTGATTCAATTACTAACTACCATAAACCTACCAATATATATTTATTTTTTTGTAAACTAAATCTACCACTTTTAGTTAGGCCATCAACGCGCTCTCATTTCCATTCAAGTACAAGGCACCAAAAAACAAACATGGAGGTAGCATATATAAAATGCATAGAGCTTTGACAAAAAAAAACTATTCATCTAGGTAGCCTCTCTCTTGTTCTCTAACATATAGAGGACAATGGGTTATCTCAAAACATTTCATCCATGCTTTGTAATCATTTTTCTCTTCTTTCATCTTTTACATTTCTCAGCTATTGAAGCTAACAATGGCGGGTTCAGCGTTAAACTGATTAGGAAAAATTCTCTCCATGATCCCTCTCGACGTCTCATGGGGTCATCTAATCCAAATGCTGCACAATCAACAACAACTGCTTATCTTGGTCACTATCTCATGGAGCTATCTATTGGAACTCCACCAGTAACCATCTATGGTATCACAGATACAGGTAGTAACCTCATATGGACACAATGTGTACCCTGTGATAACTGCTATAAGCAAAGTAACCCCATGTTTGATCCTCAAAAGTCCTCAACTTATAGCAACATCTCTTGTGAGTCACAACAATGTCATAAAATTATAGACACAGGCGTATGTTCTCCTGAGAATCGTTGCAATTACACGTATGGCTATGCAGGTGGTGAGGTAACACAAGGTGTTCTGGCACATGAAACAATTACCCTGACCTCAACCACAGGGCAACCAGTTTCACTTGAAGGCATTATTTTTGGTTGTGGACATAACAACACAGGGACTTTCAATGACCATGAGATGGGTATAATTGGTCTAGCAGGAGGGCCAGCGTCACTCATTTCTCAAATAGGTTCTTCTTTTGGAAGCAAGAGGTTTTCCCAATGCTTGGTTCCTTTCCATACTGATATTAGTATTTCAAGTAGAATGAGTTTTGGTGATGGGAGTGAAGTATTAGGGGATGATGTGGTTTCTACACCTTTGGTTGTAAAACAAGACCCAACCCCTTATTTTGTTACCTTACAAGGCATTAGTGTGGGAGATACCTACTTACCCTTTAATGATTCTTCAGAGAATGTTGAAAAAGGTAACATGTTTATTGATTCAGGGACACCTCCAACTATTTTACCTCAACAATTATATGATCGTGTAGTGGCTCAAGTGATGAAGCAGGTTCCTATGAATCCCATTGAGGGTGACCCTGATTTGGGTTCCCAGCTTTGCTATCGAACATCAACTATTCCTGAAGGGCCTATTCTGACGGTCCATTTTGAAGGTGCAGATGTGCCATTAACGCCGATTCAAACCTTCATTCCACCAAAAGATGGCGTTTTCTGCTTGGGATTAACCAATAGTAGTGATGTCGTAATTTATGGTAACTTTGCGCAATCAAATTACTTGATTGGCTTTGATCTAGAAAGACACGTGGTCTCTTTCAAGCCAATGGATTGCACCAAACACTAGAGTCTTGTGTACCCATATAAAAGCATTAAATAGTGCTGATCATAATTAAATAATAAATTATTGCTTTTTTTGTTAAAATATAAATTATTGCTTTTGCTTAAAGAGAAGATTTTCAGAAGTTTCGATTTCCTGTTAAGATATGCATTCCATCTGTGTCGCTTACCTTGGCAAATTTAAGTAGCAGAAAAAAATTGTTTTCCTTAAGAATAAATTTGTATAAGGCACAAGGAAAAAATAAATTTAAAAATTGGGAATAGATGCAAGTCATCTTCCTCTTTTGTATATTACATTGATCTCTTCGGTATTATCCGTTAAAATTTTAATTTAATCTGTATTTCCTATTTTATAGAAGTCATTTACCCAAATGTTTATACTATTAATAGAAAAAAGAATAATTTAAAGATTTCTTATTAGATTAAACCAAATGATCAAAGTGAATCCCTAACATATATTAAAAGAAGAGAATATATTTATCATGTCGTTGTACGAGACAAATTGTCTCATACAATATATAAAAAAAAATGAGTGGGATTCACTAAGAAAAATAGAGAGAAAGAAAAACGATAGGTTAAGGAAAGAGACAAAATATTAAGAAGAATAATTTTTACTATTAGGTAATGTAAATGATTTTTTTCCAAGTATAATTTGAATAATCATGATTTTTTATCCGTTTAAAATAAATATTTCTCCTCACCTATAAAATTTTTTTCTCCTTAATGATGCTTTGCATTAATTTTCCGTACTTAAGGCCATATGCTCCAATGTCATTGTAACGGGAAAAAAATATTTTTAATCATTTCTTACTAAATTAAACCAAATCGAGAGTTAAATAGGGATTCGAAACGCAATGGTAAGCACAAGAGGAATGGAGAAAAAAGGGCACAATAGTAATTTTAATTTAAGAAGTGCTTTTTTATTTTAACATTCAAATAATATTTTTACTTAAAAGTACTTTTCTAATATTGCATCCAAACACAAAATAACATTGACTTTTAAAAAAAGTTCTTTTAAAAAAAGCAACTCATAAAAAGTATCTTTTTTTAAAAGCTCATCCAAACGAGCTCTAAATTCTTTTATCTATTGTTCACTGTAAGTGAAAACTAACGAAAAAGTGTGACACACTGACTGACACCCCAGAATATGCAATTATGCATGATTTGACAATGGGTTATGTTTATCTCATTTTACATGAGATAAACATCTCTCCTACACACACAAAAAGGGATTGGGTCCCACCATTTTTTTTCTCTCTCTCCTCTTACATGTAGGTCCCACTTATACTTGTGTTTCTACAACATAAGATAATTCTTTTCCTACAACATAAGAAAAATATATCCCTTTGACAATTATATCAGAAAGTAATTATAATTCTACAATATTGTTTCTTTCTTTAAAAGGAAATTTTTACAATGTTAAGGAGAAGCATGTGCTTGTGCTTCCATGGTTTTGGGATCGGAAAGCAACTTCATTTTCCCTTTTTTTTTAAGCTTAACTGATGTATGAAAATTAGTGAATGATACTATTGGTGTTTAATGGTACTGACGATGTTAATTATAAAATATTTTTTAAGCTTTATAGTATATAGTCATTGGTGGCTACTTAGTAGTATTTATTTATGGGAAAATATTATCTTATGCTATATGAGAGTATTTTTTTCTCCTACACATACATCGACTTCCGTGTTATTTTTTTTCCTTTTTTTCTTTTTCTTTAAGTGCGTGGGTCCCACTCATAACTATCTCTATGACATAAGAGAGCTTCTCTTATGTCACATGAGATTAATAAAGCCCTTTATTTATTTATTTTGTGGGGGTCCTGTTTGGGTGAAAGGGGCAGGAGAGAAAAGAAAGAGGAATGCGGAAAAAGAAGAGACTTTCTTAATAGTCACGTATACTTTTATTTTTGAAATGGGACTTGTTTCATACTTTAGCTTAAGCTGCTAATTGTGATTCCTCGTATTTGCAGATAGCTTGAAATGATTAAAGATATATTTGTCAGTAATTAATGTATGGTATTTGATAATTATGAAGTTGTATTTTATTCAAAACAATATAAAAATTGCATTTTGTTTGGGGAGCGGAAATCCCTCGGGTGATATTGCTATGATACCATATTAGAATTATGAAAAAAAGAAATAAGAAAAAATAACGATGTCATTGATTGGTAGTGCTTTTTTACTCAAATGAGGCTCTTATATAATAGAGCAAGACAAGATTCTAAAACATTATAAATTCACAATATATCAAAATATTCCAAATAATATTTATATTCCTAATAGCAAGTTATATTTTATCCTTTTGGCTCTTTGACCAATTAGCAAGTTATATTCTTAATAGCAAGTTGATTTTAATTTTTTAATTTTTTAATTTTTTAATTTGAATTTGAATTTTAAAGTGTGGGAAAATATTTGAACAATTGTTGGTGGCAAACAGCTCATTTATTATCCCATTACTTTTTTTTTATAAGAATTATTCCATTACTTTTTATATGGGTAATTGTTAACCATATCAATAATCATAAAAAAACGAAATATATTTTGTAAAAAAACGAAATATATTTTGTAAAAAAACGCAAATATTTTGTGTATAAATAGGATATGTGTTATTGGGTTTTTTCATTTGGTAATTAGCTTCTGTGCACATATTTCTTCTTTTATCTGTCTGTTTATCTTCTTCATCTTCTCAAGTTATTGTTCTATTACATGAACATCTAATATTTTTGGTTTTATTTTTTTTGCAACTTTGTTGTAGAACAAAGCTGTCGGGATGATTTAGAATCACTGGGATATGTGCTTTTGTACTTCCTCAGAGGAATGTATGACATTCTTCTCTATCTGCTTTTCTACTACAAGTATTTTCTCCATAATCAAATATCATGAATGAGATGATATAATAAAATGTCTTAACTTTTAAATGATTAAATATTTGTCTTTAGCCTTCTTTGGAAAGATATAAAAGTTGCAACAAAGAAACAAAAGTACACAACGAGCAATGGCATAATGCGTGGATCATCCTAGCCTTTTGGCAAGTTCTGTCTTTTTTTCTCCTTGTGTTATCTGTGCTCTTTGGGCACCATCTCAAAATTCAACACGGTAAAAATTTCTCATTTATCTTAAAGCTATTTTATTTTCTATCTTTAATGTCTGCAAGAACAAGATGAGTTTTTCTTTCTATTCTTCCTGTCCATACATAATTTGTTTCACATTACTGTTCTTTAATTGATGTCTGTTCTTGACAGATATACTTACCGTGATGATATGAGTGATGAGTTGGATAGGGATGATACTACTTTGACCCTCATAAAACTATATTTCATTTCTTCAAAGGATGTTCGAAGTGTGCCAGATGCTAGACCAGTGCAACCCAGCAACGTAGTTTCAAAGCAATTTTTCTTTTAGGAGTTTTTTGCTTTAATTATCACTATTAATTTATCCTAATACTTTTTTTCATTTTGTTTGTGCCTATTGTATAAATGCCTTGCCTAATTCAATGTAATTAGGCATTTGAAAGCTCTGTTTTGCATGCTCATATTAAGAATGTGAACCAGAAGAGAAATTAGTGGATCTTCAATTCAAAAATATAATACAGAAATATGAAGCTTTTCATCTTCTAATTAATTTTATTATAATTAGCCTTGAAACCAACATACTTTAAAAAAAGTGAATATTCCAGAATTTATAAAAAAAAAATTCAAAAATATAATACAAATAGAGAAAAGAATTTCGTACAAGTAAACTTTTTAAAAATATTTAATAATTTTTTATGATTAAAATCTCATTCCTTTTTTAAATTTTGAAATTCAAATATGATATATGTGGGAAAATAATTCAGCATTAATTGGTGGCAAATATTTTTATTTATATCCCACTACTTTTTAGAATTTCGAATTTTAAATTGATATAGGTGAAAAAAGAGTTCAACATTTTTTAGTGATAGACAGCAGTATTAATATCTAACTACTTTCTACACGGGAATTGTTAATTATTTTATAATATTTATGGAAAATATATTATTACAGTTAGGTTTATTAATTTTTATTATTATGTTATTTGGTCTTAATTTATTCGATCAATTAAAAACGATCATATATTATCATATATTCTTTATAAAAGGCAACACATTTTTATAATAATATTAAAATTTCACCTATATATAATAATAAATTTAAATTTAAATTTAATGTTTAGAATTTATTCAACATTTAATGTTTCTGAAGTACAAAATAATATATATAATAAAATTAAAATAAAATTATAGATCAAATGAAAAAATATATAAAATTAAAAATATATATGTATAGTTGTTAAAAAAATAAAATAAATATTAAATTTAAATGCAAAAAACAAATAAGAAATGGCATATTTATACTATAAAATAAAATAAACAAAAATTTAACTTAAAAAATAATACAAAAAGAGAAAAAAAATTCGTACAAGTATTTTTTTTTAAAAAAATTAACATAAATATTTTAAATATATATATATATATATATGTATATCTAATCTAAAAATTATAAACTAAAAGATAAAAAATTAAATTTTTGAATAATATGTATAATTAATAAAAAAGTACATCTATCATTCTGTAAAAAATAAAATATAAAATTTAACCACTATAAAAATGAAAGACCATTCAGTGGCCATTGATCATTCAACTCCTGCATCGTAAAAATATATTTGTTATTAACTATTTTATAGACTATTTTAATGTTTCTTATTACTTTTCGCATGAAAAATTGTTAAGCCTATTAATAATATTATTTATTATATCTATTGGTGGAAAATATTTAATGTTTATAATTCAAACTTTTTAAATTTGACTTTTGAACTTGATAGTTGGGAAAAGAGTATAAAGCAAAAATTAGAATTATCAAAAATTGGAATTTGATTAAACAATTTTTTTTTTAATTTATCAAGTTCTTAATGTTTATTTATTTAATGTTTAATTTATCTTTTTTTAATTAGTAATAGATTTTTTTTCTTTCAACATCATTTCGTTTGC